ACACCCTGAGTATAAAATTGCAGTTCTGAAGGCTCCTGTTTTGCTCCCCTCTAACGCTGACAGTGAGTTGAAGCAGGAAGTGCTGTGATTTTGCTGATATTTTACTGCTTCTCACATGCTTAGAAGCACCTTAGCCTTGATAGAACCAAGTCCCTGTCTCCTGGCCAAATCCCAGCATTATCCACAAATCAGGTATCTATCTGTCTCTATTGCCTTTGGGGCTCGTTCCAGTTAATTTTTTCTGGGCATGGATTGTGTGCTGCACAAAAGCTGGCAGCAAGAGGCATTTTATTTCAGATCACAGCCTCCATGATGGCATGGATGACTGGCAATATCTGCTGTCCAACCAGCAGGTTGGTGGACGCAGCATGCCTTCATGCTGTGGATGTCCCCAGCCCTGTCCCTTCTCTGCCTGGAGCATTGGGACTGCTTCCTGCAGCCAGAGGGAGTGAGGGAAGTTGGGCTCGCTGTTGAATCTCTTGCCATTTGCAGTGGGAAAGCACGCTGCCTGGGCAGGCACTTACACATGGTAACCTGTATTTCGGTCTCAAGGACTGCAGGACTCCAAGGACTGCTCATACTATTTTATCCAGGGACTGTTTCATGCAAATAACTTTTGCACACACATCCAGGGTTGTCCTTGGTCCCCAATCTATGCAGAGTTATCCTTCATCATCTCTTATTCTCTTCTAGCCCAATACGCCTGCTTTCATACAAATCGGAATGAAGGTGAAGGAGAGTCCTTCGTCCCCCAATCTGACTGATGATTATGGTACTGCTGTGGGAGGTGTGGATTTGAATCTCCTTCCACACCCAGGTTTCCAGTTCTCTGGGTGAATGCTTTAACCATGGACCCTGGGACAAAAGGGGACAGTTTGGTACCCATGTGGTCATGTTGAATTGCTGTGAGTCCTGGGTGGATGGAGGCGATTCCCAACTTTACCAAATCCAGACAGGTGTCAGATTTAGCATATGCCTTTCTTCAGTTGTGATGGGCTGTTGCTTTGGGTCAATGCCTTTCTGGGGCGCCTGCCTTATAAAGGGAGCTTAGAGCTGTGAATTTCATTGTATGAACAAGAGGCTTAAAAGTTAGGAAACACAGTGCTCAAATGCCAGCAACAAATCCCTCTGTATATCTAAGCCTTTGTAACAGTGCAACAGAAGAAAGAACAATCTGAGATATGACATTTAAGCACATTAGTGTATATCATCCTGGGCCAGACCCTTGGCTGGTAGACCCTGATGATGAAATCCTTTGATTTCAGCATAGAGAAAAGCAATTCAGGGTAGTGTGAGCTGGGGTTCTGTCCCACAAAGCTTGTCAGAGTAATGAAATCCCAGGTGTCAGGTATCCCCTTTGTTTGTGTAGTCTTGGCTGAGAAGATGGCTCAGTTCTGGGCGAAAACAGTGAGTTTGTAGGTGAGTGAGGTATAAGACAGCACAAAGAGGGTAACTTCCAGTAAATCAGAAAACATGTCCACATAGGAGTGCTGTGTACTTGTTTGGTGGTAAGGATTTTAACCATTTCAATACTGTAAATGCAGGTGTCCCATATTTCATCTAAAATAGAAGTTACTATAAAAAGAAAGGCAGTGCAGAATCCGTAATTATGCCTCTGTAGGACTTCACAGGAATGGAAAAATATCCCCTAGCACAGGATCGGGGCCATAATGGGCAACCCTCTCTTTCCAGGGCTTCCTTCCTCCCTCCATCAGGATGTTAGATTTACTCAGTAACATCTGTTTGACTTTTACTGTCTTAGACCCCATACTTCTGCCTCTGTGACAGAAAATGCATGATGTGGTAGCAAACTCGCATTAACACAGCTCTCAAGTCCAAACATAGCCTGATGACTTCTTTTGTAAAAGCAGGTTATAATTTTTGTTACCTACCCCTTAATTTTCAACCTGTGAACATTTTCCCCCTAATTCTATTGTATCAGCTATTATACAGATTAGCTCATTTGCATGCTCTGCCAAGCTTAACTGAAAAGATTCAAGGCTGCAGGTCACATTTATTAGCAGAAGCAATACTCCTGAGATACATGTTTGCTTAACTTTTCATCTTTAAATAGACAGGACTGCCAAAAAATTAAACATACTTGTCCAAGAGGGAGGGAGGAGTCAGTAAAGCATTGATGAAGTAGCAGTGGTTTCAAAATAGCTTCTCATGTATTGATTTGTAACCATTGGAGAGAAATATTATGGTATTTCTAATGAAGTTTTGTGAAGAAATGTGCATTATTTGCCAAACAAATCCTTACTTAGCTTTCTGTGGTAAAGTAATCCCTAGGTTTCCAGTGTCTGAGAATGAATCACTTCCAACAGTTTTAGTTTTACCCTAAACAACACTGTTGGTAGAAAAAAAAGAGAGCAGTTTCTAGTTATGGGAAGCAGGACTGAGTCAGGTCTGGGCCTGCAGAGATTCCAGCTTGGCCCTGTGGCTCCTGACCCTGCGTCTTGGCTTTCTCTGCCCTGAGTTCTTGATCCACTTCTGTGTCAGGAGCCAGCAGGAGGGGTAACGTGTAGCTGAAGTGGTGATCACAGCTGAGTGTGACCTGTGAGCTGCAGAAAAGCAGAGAGCAGGCAGGATGTGAAGAGAAGTGTTTCCTCCTTGTGAGGTCAGAGCAGTCATCTAGGATATCCTTCAGGCAAAAATACTGTATTAGTTGTATTGTCCGTTTTTACCAGCAGCAGGTCCTACTACGTGTAACAACAGGATTTTTCAGAAGTGTATCATATGCTTATAAAGTGCTTCTGTATTACTGAGGAAACTGTATGCTTTCATGTCAAATGAAGTTTGAGAAACAACAATGTAAAATTGTTTGGAACGGTTTTCTAAGAATGGAGGAATTTACATAATGTGGAAATTTTACCGGCTGCAATCTCACTCTAATGATGTTATTCCTCAGCAGTAGCAGGATGACCACAGATGAAAAGCAGCTACCCCTTTAGGTGAATTATGCTATCGGATTAAAACAGTTCACCTTGCCCTGGTGTTAGACACGTAACAAAATCAGTACAAAATCAGCAAAAGAAAGTACAACCGGAGTGTGTGCTGTTGTTGTTGGGGGGGGGCAGCGTGCAGGTTTAACCATTTAAAGTGCTTTTGGGAAGTCTTGTGTGCGCTTGCTCTGTACCCATGTGCAGAGTATTAGAGTGCTAAGCCTTAATGCTGGCACCAGGAGACAACTCTGATCCCTTTCTCTACTCCTGCACAGCTCAGACAAGGTGATCCTTGGCATGGCTGCAAGCCAAGCGTGTTCTAGCTCCCTGCTGCCATCCGCCCTGAGCGCTGGCTGTGGAGCCGACTGCGGGCAGCACGAGGCCGCGGCCACGGGCAGCTCGTCGCGGGCCATGGGCACTGCCCCGCCGACAGGAACGCGTGCTCTGCTCATGCCTGGAGACGTGCTCTGCTCATGCCTGCAAGCATTGTGTGCGCAGAAGTTGGGGAGCAGCTCAAAGCTCCCATCAGAGACATTATAGACAGTAATTACTGTAAAGGCATGCTAATCCTTTATAAATAATAGGCAGCTCATTGTTGGTGTGATAAATAAAGCAGTTGGCATCCTCAGATAACTCCAGGGGCCATCCTCTCAGTTTTCCAATTTATAGAAAGGAGTGTGTTCAGAGACTTGGTGGAAAGGGAACGTGAGTGCAGATATTGAGGCTGAAATTTTGAAATACTATACAATTCACTTCCTACTACCTCCTTTTTGTCTAAAAGAATTACCACTAAGCAAAGTGTTGACACATAGAACGTTTTAGCATGCTAGAGACACAGAATGTGTAATACTTGAGAAATATGTGTGAGCCTTAGAATCTCAGATACCATTTGTTTATTTTAGTATGGAAGAAAAATTTGTCAGAGAAAGTTTGTTCAGATATGCTGAGAATTTTTGTTGAAGAGGTCTTTGTGCCACGATGGATTTCCTGAAAAAAGAATGATTGTCCCACCTAAATACTCTTGAAATCCTAGCCAAATGCTAGCAGGAGGAAAGGCTGCTTACCACAGCTTTACCTAACCAAAATAAGACATTTTTTAATGCAAAATGCAGATGTTCCTGCAAGGTGATCCCAATTAATGTAACTCACTTTCTAACTAAGTAAAGAGCATCATCACCCCTAAAACGTGCAAGTCTGACACTAGAAGGCAATAAAATCTCAACTGCTCTAACATATAAGTGTTTAGTGAAAGAAAACAACACATATCCTGTGACAAACACATGCAGAGCGGGCAGATAGTTTCTGATAGGCTGGAGGGAAATTACTCTGATATTTTCACCAAAATATTATGAACCCATCACTGAGTGGAAAATTTTATGTTACCTGTGTCTTGTGATACATGAATTTTAAAATGTTTGCCTTTAGAAAAAGAAGTGCTGTTCATTGTCTTGCAGTTTGCAAATGCATCTTCTTTATAAATCAAAATTAAGATCCTGTGAATGTGTTCTTTGTCACCGAATCACAGATCTGTCTTCTGATAAAAGGAGAGTGCTGTAGGAAAAGAAAAAAGTGTCCGTTAGCTCATGCTGAGCTTGTACAATGGTTTCCTTGTCATTTGATAGAAGCTAAAATAAAGCAATGAATCCTGAAATGTGTTTGTTCACACAAAATGACAGTGGGATTGCTCCTTTTGGTTTTGATGAAGTCCAGAGGCAACAATACATGCATGTGTACCGGGCTTGCTGCAGATAAAATGGTATATCAGATTCGGCATGAAAAGGAATCTTGGTTTGCAACAACAATGGTGGCCATGCTTCCCATGACTTTACTATGGCCAGGTTTTTACTCCTGGGCTTTTTGTATGACAAACCATCACAGAAAAATTCCCCAGGAAACTTTAATTCCTCATACTGTCAGACAAATAAAGTGCGTCATTGTATCCTTTTAATCAAAGGTAGCTACAAAATTTAGAAAAAAGTAATACTAGTTATTGCTTGTATTAATATATAATGTGAATTAACTTTTACTTGACCTTCATGTAATATTTATCCCCAGATCTGCCATTGGGAAGCTGGGAGTGGAGGTGTTTGAAGCTGTGTACAGCTATCTCAAGCAAGTGAGACAGCAGGATGCCGATGAGGAGGAGATCAGGAGACATCTGGAGAAACTGGTTGCTAGAGCAAGTGATTGCTTTGAAGTGGATCAGCTTCTCTACTTCGAGGAGCAGCTACAGGCTTCAGAATCATGTCTTCACTGCAAAAGGTGTGCCAGTAACAGCACTGGAAATAGCAAGGAGGAGTGAAGGTGCTGAGCTGCCTCCTTCAGGCCAGCAAGCAAGTATGGGAGGTGTTTATTTGAAGGAAACTGCTGAAGGTAACATAGCACATAAGCAGTGGATAAACTCCATTTGAGAATCCAGAGCACAGGGAGAAGTGGGTACAGATTACAGGGACAGGAAGAAGAACAAATGTTTGTGACAGTGGAGGGGAGGATTCGCCGTTACAGAGTCCCGTTTTTTCACCACTTAGGGCATAAAGAAAGGTGTTCTCCTGGGCCTTGGCCAGGCATCAGTCCTGCATTCAGAGCATCACTGGCTAAGCTGCCTCTGATGGAAATGGTGCAGGATTAGGCTCCAGCTGCTGTTGATTCTTGCGCTAACTGGTTTTCATGACATTTAAGCCTATATTTTTTGTACTTCGGCAGGTTTACCCTTGAACATACATGTATATGTATGGCTACTCAGCCACTAGTTGTCTCGTCATTATTCATTGTTGAAAAGGACTGCATTTAATTTGTGTGACTTTCAAAGGAACTGTGAAAATACATACATATGTGTATATTTATATACACATATGCATGCTGTCGTACACAGAGATATGTATTTCCGTAGAGGCAGAAAGATGTCTGGCCACACACTGTACATGACAGAGACACGAAGCCTGAGCTATAGCTGACTATGCTGGATAGGAATCCTTACTGCAACTTCTGAGAGTTTTGGATCAAATTCATGCTACGCAAATGGAACAATAAACTAATTTTTTTTTTGCTTGCACATGGTTACTGTTAATGTTTTTTCTTAGTATTTATGCTCCCTTCTTCATATGCATCACACTTTTGCTGGTTTCAAATATATGTCATGCTCTGATTATATACCTGGTGTTTTCCTTCTTCCTCTTCCTTCTTTATTCTGCATTCTGATCTCCTTCATCCGTCTGTGTAAAATACTAAAGGATAACAAAGTGGTACAATCTATAAAGGAATCTCAAATGAATTGTGGACCAAATTAATTTTAGGCATTGAGCCGTTGTCATAAGCCTTATGTTTCTTGCTTTTGTGCCACTACTCTTAAAGGACTCAGGGACTGAATTAAATAAATTAAAATAAATTCATCATATGAATACTAAAAAACATTGGGTTTTGACCTGAGATGAGTTATTTACAGCTAAGGATACTGGTATTGGTAGTAAATGAAGCAGTACTACTGATCCATCTTTGTGACATGCTTTGACTCAAAGGGAAAGGTAAGTAGAGTCATCTTAACCTCTCTCAGCAGCAACACAAACAGAGGAAGCAAAGGACATCCCCAGCTACAGAAGTGTCATTGTACTTCCAACTCAAAGTAACAGGAGATTCTGGCATGTCTGACTTAGCTTTTATTGGGAATATACAGTGTTACAAACTGGAGGCTAAACTAAAATCCACTGTGACCTTCACTGAGGTAGGGAAACATTTTTTTTTCTTCTGTGTGGTGTTTCAGATCCCATAGGTGGAGACACAGTTTGAAGCACAGATTCTCAGTCAGGTTTCAGGCTCTTTCCTGTTATTTCTTCTTGTACTTACGCTCCGCATCCTTCTCAATGTTGTGTCTGTGTACCTGCGTCCATATCTTTTGCACATGACTTCATTTACAGAATCACAGAATGTCAGGGGTTGGAAGGGACCTTGAAAGATCGTCTAGTCCAACCCCCCTGCCAGAGCAGGACCACCCAGAGTAGATCACACAGAACACGTCCGGGCGGGTTTTGAATGTCTCCAGAGAAGGAGACTCCACAACCTCTCTGGGCAGCCTGTTCCAGTGCTCTGCCGCCCTCATGGTGAAACAGTTTTTCCTTATGTTAATGTGGAACCTAAGACCATTTGAAACCTAAGACCATCTAAGACCATTTGAAAACAGAAGTGCCAAAGTCCAAGATATAGGAGAATTGCTGGGATGCTGCACGGAGTAGAAAGTTCACAAAGCAAACAATAAGCAACTAACACATGGTGAGGATAATGTTAGAGGGAGATGATCTTGGCTACTGCACTTACCTGGCTGTGATTCAAAGTGATTTATCACAAAAACTTCAAAACCAGCCTCTGTTAGCAGCCAGTTCCTTTTATTAATCATAGAATCATAGAATTATTTCGGTTGGAAAAGACCTTTAAGATTGTCCTGGTTTGGGCTAAACCAGAACT